GCACATATACACCATGGAATATTATGCAGCCATCAAAAATGATGAGTTCATGTCCTTTGTAGGGACATGGATGAACCTGAAAACCATCATTCTCAGCAAACTGACACAAGAGCAGAAAATCAAACACCGCATGTTCTCACTCATAGGCGGGTGTTGAACAATGAGAACACATGAACACAGGGAGGGGAGCACTACACATTGGAGTCTGTTGGGGGGAAATGGGGGAAGGACGGGGTGTGGGGAGGTGGGGAGGGATAGCATGGGGAGAAATGCCAGATATAGGTGAAGGGCAGGAAGGCAGCAAATCACACTGCCATGTGTGTACCTATGCAACAATCTTGCATGTTCTTCACATGTACCCCAAAACCTAAAATGCAATTTAAAAAAGAAAGAAAAAAAAGAAATTTACAGGACAAAAAAAATAAAATAAAACCACTGATGATGTGACACTAGAAAAAAAAAGAAAATCAAGAACTTCAAACCAGTACTACATAAAAATTAATATTTTGTAAAAAAAAAAAAAAAGAAATTAAAAGGAGAAAAATTGTCACTTTGAGTATTGATGCATGGAGAAATGTCACAGAAGAAGAGGAATAATTTAACACGGTCTTAAAGTACGAGAATGGTTTGTGTAAGTAAGGCGAACATAGAAGAGTATTTTATATGGGAAAATAAATGAACAAGTAGAACAGTAAGGCATTCCCAAAGCATGCCTAGAGAAAAATAGGAAAATCAGTTTAAGTAAAGTAAAATAAGAATAATAAAGACTAGTGTGAGAAAATATAAGTATGAATTCTACTTGGTGAATGATTCAATATAAGGACAAAGCAAAAAAAAATATAAAGCATAACAGATGAATCAAGTTTTGAGTTTGGGGACTGATAATTGTGGTTTTAATGACGGAAGTAGGAAAACCAGTGCAGAACTACTTTGATGTGTTTGAGGTGACAACATAACATCCTCGGGGAAATGATGAGCAAGCAGCTACAGATATGAAACTGAATCTCAGTGGAGAAGCAGAAAGGGAAGTGTGAATTTGAGACTTATCAGTACGAAGATAATCACTAAGGCCTGTGAGTGGGTGAATAGCTGAAGTGAGGCAATTAGAAAGATGAGGTAGAGAAGCAAGAAGTGTCCACAAAGAAAGCAAAGAAGGAGCAGTCAGGGAGTTAGAATGTGCATATTATCCCAAGAGCAGAGTAAGAGAAATGCAAGAGGAAATGATCAACTGAGTCAATTGGTACAGAAGAATAAAAGAGAGAGAGGGCTAAGGAAATTTGGCTGAATTGCTGACAACCAGTTTACCCTTAGAGTGGTAGAGGTGAAAGTCAGAAGCTTTCAAAAATGCGCTGAAAAGTGAGTTTATAGAAAGGGAATGGAGACAGTGGCTACTGACCACTTTGAGAGAAAGAAAATTTTGAAACTGATAGATTTGCAGCATCATCAAGGAAAAGGATGAAGTGCTCCTTTAGTATTGTTTTATTTTGTTTTTTAGGCTTCTGCATATAAAGGGGAGGCATTCAATGGAGAAAGAAGGGAAGAAGATTTAGGAGAGGAGAAGGAATGACAATTCCAGAAAGCTTAGTGATAATAAGATCTTACTTGTATATGTTTTTGTTATCTTCAGGCACTTTTACACCTATTTGTCCATTTTATTTTCATAATATTCTAAAAAGGGAGGTACTATTATCATTTTCATTTTAAAAATGAGTAAATGGAGGCATTCAGAGGCTAAATGACTTGCCCAACATGACCACCTAAAAAGGGTTGGGTCAAGAAATAAACTCAGACAAAGAGACTAGTATCATCCTCTTACCCACTGGGCTATCTCACTTTCAAGGATTAAAGAATTTTTGCAATATATTCATCAGAGAAAGGGCTAATATCCAAAATCTACAAGGAACTTAAACAAATGTACAAGAAAAAAAAAACATCAAAAAGTGGGTGAAGGATCTGAACAGACATTTCTCAAAAGAAGACACTTATGCAGCCAGAAACATATGAAAAAAAGCTCATCATCACTGGTCATTAGATAAATGCAAATCAATATCACAATGAGATATCATCTCATGCCAGTTAGAATGGTGATAATTAAAAAGTTAGGAAACAACAGAGGCTGGAGAGGATGTGGAGAAATAGAAACACATTTACACTGCTGTTGGGAGTGTAAATTAGTTCAACCATTGTGGAAGACAGTGTGGCGATTCCTGAAGGATCTAGAACATTTGACCCAGCAATCCCATTACTGGATATATACCCGAAGGATTATAAAGCATTATAGTATAAAGACACATGCACATATATGTTTATTGTGGCACTGTTCACAATAGCAAAGACTTGGAACCAGCCCAAATGCCCATAAATGACAGACTGGATAAAGAAAATATGGCACATATACACCATGGAATATTATGCAGCCGTAAAAAGAATGAGTTCATGTCCTTTGCAGGGACATAGATAAATCTGGAAACCATCATTCTCAGAAAACTAACACAGGAACAGAAAACCAAACACTGCATATTCTCACTCATAAGTGGGAGTTGAACAGTGAAAACACATGGACACAAGGAGAGAAACATCATACACTAGGGCATGTCAGGAGGTAGGGGGCTGGGCAGGACAGCACTAGGAGAAACAGCTAATATAGATGACAGGTTGATGGCTGCAGCAAACCACCACGGCACGTGTCTATGTAACAAACCTGCACATTCTGCACATGTATCCCAGAACTTAAATTATAACTTTAAAAAAAAAAGAGAGGAAGAAAAGAAAGTAATAGGAATGAATTTATTCATGAGGCTGCAAGGAAGTAAAGAAGGCAGTTTTACTGTTTTTTTCCGGGATGAAAAGAAAGTACTTGAGCATCTTTATAAGATATGATGTACCCAGTTATAAACTTCCATCTTGATAGTAAAAAAGTGAAGGAGGGATTAGGGTGAAGATTTAGGACATGAGAAGTTTGATGAAAATTTAGAAGAGTCCTCACTGCAGACTCAGCAAAAGAAGAATAAAACCTGTTGAACGCCTTCTGTAGCCCAGTTGAAGAGGAACTCTAAAGATTGGTAAGACAAGTTCAGCATGTTCTCCACAGGGAAGGATGGGAAGATTTCAGTTTGGAGATAAGCCAGTAGGCAAAGCTGTAAAGTCAGACTTGGGAATGATGTTAGGGTATTGGAGAAAAGTTAATTTAGATAATAGATTGTGTCTTACAATTAAAGGCATTAAGTTATTTCAAGTAAAAAGAAAAAATCCTGATAAATTAGTATGCTATTGATCCAACATAGATATCAAATTGGTAACTCACATATACTTTAATAAAGCAATACAGATTCAAGACTAAGCAATTGAATGGAAACATTTAAAATGTGGTATTACCATCTTATTATTATTACTATTATTATTTTGGTTATGAATTGTTCTTTATTCACTATCACTAAATCTCACACTCAGAAAGACAAAATCTATTATGAGGATTGCATGGACTGAAAATAGATTTCCAATTTCACACAGCTTTTTTTCTTCTCAGTCTGACAAAGCAAAGGCTGAAATATGGATAAAATAGTCTACCCTTGCTGAACAGTCCAGAAAACACCATTAATATATCAAAAAATGAGCTATATCATGTAATTGATATCTATACATCATAACCTTAATATAGATGACAATTTATAAGAAAATGGTAACATTATTATCATAATTATTAACTCAACTAAATGGATTTCGTGGCTCTTGGCAAATATTAAATCAGAAAGAATTTCAAATAATATAAAATCATTTTTAAAATATGCTTTATCTCATATACTTATTTTCTAGAACAAGAGTGGGACACAAACAAAGGTCAGAAAAATGTCATATTGGATGTTTCCCTAAAACATTTATTGGCAAAAAAAAATTGATATTTTAAAATTTAATTCAAAATTGATCATTAGTTGTTATAGAAGCTATTACATTTAAAAATCTATTTTTCCTTATATAATAGTGTTTGCTTTTTAGGTGATTGTTTGCATTTAGACAAGGTTTATTAACATTTTTTTCCTTTAAAAAATGTCTCAGGCTCTAAGGGCTATTATCCAGCTATATTCTGAAAGATAATCTTGATTGATTTCTAAGTATAGAGATATATTTAATTGGATAGAATACTTGTAGAATAAATGCTTTGAAACAGGATTTTGAATTTTACAAAAAGATTTAATTAAAGTGTAACCAGTAAATTATTTTAGGAAATTTTCAGGGTCTGAGCATCTGTACTAGTCAGATGCCCTTATGGTAATACACCAAAGAGCAAAGGCAATTTATATGTAAGCTCCATGTAGTTTATTTTAACTGCTTGTTCCTAGAAAACATTTATGATTGAATTCCAAAGTCAACTATAAATATTTTTACTTGTTTTATATTATACATAGACAGACAGACAGAAAGACACACACACACACACTTCAGGTGCAAAACACTTCATTGTTTTTTACACATTCCGTTACTATACACATTGAAGTGCATAAGTACATTTTAAAGTAAAATGTGAATATTATTTTGCAGATACCCACAGTAATTTTAAGTCTTTTTTTTTTTTTTTTTTTTTTTTTGCCCATTGACTGTAATTCTAAGTGCCTCCTCATCAAGACACTGCAATTTAAAGAAGCTTTTTAGGAACACTGAACACTGAACGAAGACTAGAATATAAATTAACGGCATTTTGTGATATTTTGAAAAATGTCTTGGAATTTCCCCCATAGGGAAGAACATGAAACAATACAGGACACAGATCAGGGAATTACTTTGGAAAAAAAAATAAATTTTTATTATTTCCCAAGGTCAATTATCTGTTTTATCTGCTTTTAAGATAATGTGCTTTCACACAAATACTTAATATTCTTAATACATTCAAATATTTAATATTTAGATATTCCTAACATATAAGTTTCCTCCACATTTAAATTTTAAAAGTCAAGTGTAATGAAGGATCACAGCACAGAATAATTCCCATTTTGGGGAGTTCTCACCTTGTTGCATGTGTTGTGACTGAGGAGGGTGTGAGAATCCTCCTGTTCATCACTCATGGAGAAGGACAGATGACTGAAAGGTCCTGGGGCAATACAGTCACCATGTGAGAGGGTCTGTGGATGCAGCAGGGACTTAGCAGGAGGATAGAGTTTAGTCTGATATAAAGGATGGAGCGAGACAGGCTTGGGAAGGACTGTCATACCCTGGGGGAAGAAGAAAGGCATAAGAGGATGTTAGTATAAAAAAGTCAAGCACCCTTGGAATTAGGTCTGTGATAGACATAGGTCAGAATCTCTTACCAGTAAGAAGAAAACCTCTTCTCACTAGGAAGTGTCCCTCATGAGACACCTGCTTTCAATGTGTATTGTGTATCTCTTTCAAAAATTCCTTTCAGTCCCCCACTCCAGCCTCTTCTGTGGAACAAAACAAGTGCCTGCAGAATGTCTCCTGATGGGCACCAGGTTTATTTTTGAAAGTATTAAGAGGAGATATGTGTAGGGAATAAGAGAATATATCCAAAGGAAGTAGGCTAGAGTTAGAAACGTCTTCATGGAGGAGGTAGGTAGTTATGGAAATTAAAGATGCTTGTGATCTGGTCTGGAAGAAATCAGGAAGTCAAGAGGAGGGTACTGTGGAGAGTATTAACCTATGAGCGGAGAGGCAGAAGTACAAGGTAGTTCATGACATAGTAAGTTTCAGAGCTGAGTTTGTCATGGATAAGGAATCAGGGAGAGGCAAGTCTGGAAAGAATGAATGAGGTCTTCAGTTCTAGGCAATATGTTGTTTTAGAGAAAAACTGGTGGTGTAACAAACAAAAGAGTTCAACTGCAAAGAGGGGAGGTTATGAGGCCTTAACTAGAGTGGGTCTTTAACATGGAAAAAGGATGAATGACTTTGAGGAAGGAGGAGCCACAGCATGAGGCCATGTATTATGTGAACGGAGCAAGGAAATCAAGTCTTGAGGCTACAAAGAAAAGTTGCAAAAAAGGCCGACATACAGGTATACGTCTTCTACAAATCAAGCAAATACAAATATGTATTTTATTTTACACACACAGCACATGCATACATCTATTATTTTAAAAATACAGCATCTAGCAAAGACATGGAATCAATCCAAATGCCCATCAATGATAGACTAGATAAAGAAAATGTGGCACATATACACCATGGAATACTATGTGGCCATATAAAGGAAAAAGATCATGTTCTTTGCAGAGACATGAATGGAGCTGCAAGCCATTATCCTCAGAAAACTAATGCAGGAAGAGAAAAACTAAACATCACATGTCCTCCCTTATAAGTGGGAGATGAAAAATAAGAACACATGGCATATGGTCAGGGAACAACACCCACTGGGTCTTGTCGGGGGTTGTGGGAGGAGGGAGAGCATCAGGAAGAATAGCTAATGGATGCTGGACCTAATACCTAGGTGATGGGTTGATCAGTGCAGTAAACTACCATGAGGCATATGTTTACCTGTGTATCAAACCTAGACATCCTGCACATGCAGCCTGGAACTTAAAAGTGGAAGAAAAAAAATTTAAATGCAAAAAATTGAAAAGATAACATCCTCTTTACAGTATTCTGTGTCTTATTTGTTTGATTTTTTTATTTGACTATTTTGGAATTTTTCTGTATCAGTACATGAAAGCTATTTATTTTCTACCAAGACAGGTTACTGAGTTATCTTACTGATTGTAATTGTTGTTCAGTTGATTCTCTTAGACTTTCCGGGTCTATTACCAAAAAAATCAAATCACCTAACACAGTGATAAACTTATCTCCTCTTTGCCAGTTACTATAGTTTTCATTTCTTCCTTTTGTCTAATTTAATTGGTTAATGGCTCTAACATTGTTAAATGAAAGCCATGTCAGTGGGTACCTTTAATGGAACACATGCAGTACTTATCCATTTAAGATGATTCTGACTTATAATTTTATTTCTAAATCAAACACTTCATTGTTTTACCAGGTAATTATATGAATTATTAATCAGTGTGAAAGTGATTAACATGACAACTGAGCAGCAAACACAAGACTAGCTATGTGAGAAAAGGACAGTGTTGTAATTGACAGTTGAAGGTGCTTAGGACAAGGTGGTCTGAACAGTCTCTGGTTTATATTCAGCCTTCAGTTTTTTTCTTGGAGGGTGTAAAAATCAATGCTCAGGTTGTCAGGGTGATCCATGGGCAGCAACAGGTTCACCAAATGCAGTTATCTGGGGGAATTAAGTTCTATCCAATGAGGAGAAAAATGTTTGCAGAGAGTGTGCTACTCTGTGTTTTGTTTTTCTAAGTTCACTTTTACCAATCTCCAGCTTTTAGGAGTAGGTCAAACTTGAATGCTTCTGTAGGATCAGGTGTTGTCCTCACTTTATCCAGGCAGCTGGGCAGGGAGGGAGAGCAGAATCTTATCAGTACTTGGACTGGCAGAAGAGAGCTAAGAACTTTGGCCAAGCTCAACTTGAGTATTATCAGTTGGAAATACAAAACAAAGGAGAAAGGATTGTTGGTGGTAACAACCTTCATATGTATGTTTCAATCTGTGCTAGTTGCCTTCTATGTTTGTAGAAATTATTATCCTGTGATTCTCTTTAGCACAATCCTGGGTACTTCTTCAGTAGCTTTTATCTTACCTTCCTTTTTTAAGCTACCATTTCTTTACCTTTCCTTCAGAGGTATCAAGGACCTCCAAATCCTAAGCCTTCTGAGAACTCTAAGATAGAAATGGAATCGATACTTGGCTTTCTCCCTGGCCGGCCTAGGATTTAGCTTTCTTGGGTCGCTATATCAGTTTTTCCTCATCAGGATATTTTTCTGACTTTAAAATGTTATTGCTGTGTCTCCTCTTCTTACTTCCCATACTTGTAGATTATATCTTTAAAATACAGCTTTACAATAATTTTAAGGGAATATTGGGAAGGAACATATTTCGAGGTATTGTTCAATCCACCATCCCTTACTGAAAGTCTTTAAGAGTTTTGTTTTGTTTAATAAAGATGGCACTTAAAGTCTAAGAAGATAATTACATTATTTTCCCCTTGCATTAAATCCCATTTAGTAAGGACGCAGCATTCTTTAACCTTCCACTGAGTTCTGTTTCCTATAAAACTGAGATATCTCCATTAATATTTATAACTGAGTTTGGGCTGAGGTTTCCTGTTTGTGCAACTTCTGTTGGGTTTTATAACAATGTGACACTTGCTACATAAAATAATTTAGAAGATATCCTTGCATTACTATAGTCTATAACTGTCTGCTGACAGAGTTGCAGTCATGCACTGCATAATGAAACAATGAACTGCATACGTTGGTGGTCCCATGAAATTATACCACATTTTTACTGAATCTTTTCTATGTTTAGATATGCTTAGATACAGAAATACCATTGTGTGACAGTTGCCTACAGTATTCAGTACAGCACTGTGCTGTACAGGTTTGTAGTCTAGGAGCAATAGGTTATACTATACCCTATAGCCTAGGTGTGTAGTAGGGTATACCATCTAGGTTTGTGTAAGGTACAATCTATGATGTTTGCACACAAAAGAAATGCCCTAACTAGTACAACCGCTATGTAAAACAGTGTGAAGATTCCTTAAAGAGGTAAAAGTAAAACTACCATTTGATCCAGCAATCCCATTACTGGGTATCTACCCCGAGGAAAAAAAGTGATTTTTCAAAAATGATACTTGCACATGCATGTTTATATCAGCAAGATTCACAACTGCAAAATCTTGAAACCAATTCAAATGTCCATCAATCAATGAGCAGATAAAGAAACTGTGGTATATATACACTGTATATGATGGAATACCACTCAGTCATAAAAAGGAATGAAGTAACAGCATTTGCAATGACCTGGATGACATTGGAGACTATTATTCTAAGTGAAGTAACTCAGGAATGGAAAATCAAACATTGTATGTTCTCACTCATATGTGGAAGCTAAGCTATGGGGACGCAAAGGCATAAGAATGATACAATGGACTGTGGGGACTTGGGGGCAAGAGTGCAAGGGGATTGAGGGATAAAAGACAACAATATGGTGTAGTGCATACTGCTCAGGTGATGGGGGCACCCGGATCTCACAAATCACCACTAAAGAACTTACTCATGTAACCAAATACCACCTGTACCCCAATAACTTAAGGAAGCATAAAATCAAATAATAATAATAATGAGAATTCCCCTAAGGATGAATTTCTTAGAGTGTATTCCCATCATTAAACAATACATAACTGTGTTTATTCCTTAAAAGATTGTTAGAATTTCCCCCATTAATCTATTTGTGACCTGGAGCTTTTTGGGGGTAACTTTTCACTTTTTTTTTTTTTCAGTTTTTCTTCTGGCAATTGGTTTACTGGAGTAAATTTTTCCAGGAAAACTGTATTTTTGCTATAAAGTATTAATTTCCTGTGGATTCCAAATTCACTTGCATAAGGGTGAGAGAAGCAGTGTCATATTTTGTGTCCTCTATATTGTTATTTTCATGTTTATTTCTTATTTTGTATTTTATATTTTCTCCCTTTTTATTGATCTGTTTAGCTAATAGTTTGCTATTTTACACTTTTTTCGAGGAATATATTTTATTATATTTATGAGTTCTACAACTGTTTTTCTTTCTAGTTATTTATCTTTTCCTAATCCTATAAACTCCTTTTCTTTTATTTTCTTATGCAAAGAATAAGGATTTTCTCCTTAAATAACGTTTCCCCTTAAATAATTGTTTTATTTATGTTTTTAAATTTTCCATATTGAATGCTTACTTGGTTGACATTTATTACTCTTTTTACATATTTATTAAGCATTTTTGCATTATACATTTCCTTTCAAGGACTATTTTAACTATATCTTACAAGTTCTAATAGACAATAATTTGAAAAACAATTTCATTAGCTTTCTTTTCCAGATAGAAATTTTATTTTCTATTTTTTCAAGTTTGATCTCTTTTTTATTATTTTAAAAGACTTTGTTTTAGTATAATTACAAGGTAATATAAGCTTACTTTAGAAAGATCGGAAGACATATGCAAACCAAAAAGACAATATTAAAAATACTCTCAATCTAGTGAATCCAAAGACAGTTTTCAAACACTCTTTTTTGAGAGGATCACATTTTGTGATTTCAAAATATATTACAAAACCACAATAATCAAAACAGTATGGCACTGTCATAGAAGCAGACTATAGACCAATGGAACA